GATACATGGCCGGCATAAATCAAATAATCATATTTCTGTAGGGATCCACTGAGGGATAATTTTCAAACCATATTGGTCTGTAAACGGAACAAGTCTCAATCCTATTAAACCAGATTCATTGCCTTGTATTGCTGCACTAATCTTTGGGCAAATGACTGACAAAAGTTCACCCTGACTGTCCACATCCACCCAGGAGAAGGGAGGTGTGCCTGGAATAGACACTCGATGGCAGAGCTCAATTCTGTAACTTTCCTTTTAAAGCCTCCCTGTCTAGTGCTCTTTTCATTCCACAACACATGGATGAGGTTTTCCCAAGCTGCTAGAGGTGATGCTCACTCAGGCGAGGGTGGTGTTAGTGTTTTAGCACCCCTGTGGCAAGACAGATGGGGTTATGGATAATGTGGCAAGAAAGATCAAGGACCATGGCTGTCTGAACATCTGCCCGCTGCCTAGTGTGACACTCCTGATCCCACTTGCCATGGGAGTGCTGATTCCAACAAAAGCAAGGAGACTTCTTACTGCTCCTTAAGGCCTTTACTGGAAAAAGGAAATCTCTTATATTTTTCCCTCTTCCCCTTTGCTTTTTTTTTTTTTTTGCACGAAGATCCTGATATATTCCTTGTATCTATCACATCTAGAGCTTTCCAACACATCCACCTGTTGAAGCAGCAGAACCAATGGGAGAGATGGTGTTGTAAAAGGATAAAAGAGCAAAAATTTAACAAAAGACAAAAAGTCAATGTTTCTTGTATGATCTGCAGCTCAGAATCTAAGTTTTGTTTTGTAACCAGGATCACTATTGCTATAAACGAATTTATGGTGCTTTAGTTCTAGGGTAGAACTATTGTACTGTCAAGTTTTATTACCAACAGAATGGTGATCTGAAACCATGCTGTGGAAAGTCCCTATTTCTGTGTATTTTAGGTAACCTTAGCTCATTATAATATGAAACCCACACTCCTATAATTTAAGTTACCCACCTCTTCATGAAGCTCTTCATCCTCTGAGCACGTGTCCATTACTAGGTAGATATTGTGGCTTTAAATGAAAGTGAGGAATAACATTAGTCAATAGATGATATCCTGATAAAATACTAACCAACAATTATGTATAGAGGCGTGTGTTTAAGTCAGTGTGCTGGCCACTTTGGATGCTTAAGACCCTTTTCTGCACAGAACTGTAATATTACAGAGTTGAGATATTTGTATTTAATTGGATCTTTGCACACCAGGTGAAGAACCCCCTTTTGGGGACAACAATGGTAGTGTAAGATTCTCAAAGAGGAAGAGCTAGGGATGAAGATACCAAAGAGGAGGAAATGAACAGTGGAAAACACCCTTGTTCCTCTTTCCCTTTCCTTGATTCACTGCAGTGGGAGGTGATTTGAAGACAGGGATATTTTCATACAGAGGAAGAAAGAGCCCTAAGTCATCTACATGATAGCATGAGGAAGAAAAGAGTTGTTATTGCAATGTATCTGCCAGCTCACACTCCAGGCAGCAGTGGACAGACACAGCTCTGGGTCCTGGTTGGTCTCAGTCACTCTCATGTCTTCAGACTGTTTTGGTGGCAAGTGCATTTTCAAACTGATGTGTTGACCCCATTTCCTGAGCTGAAACATTGTTCCCTTCTTTCCCCAGATACCCTTTTTTCTTTGAACACCCACCTCTATGGAGGCCTGCTCTGCCTGATTTAGCCTGTCTGTGGTTTCTAGCAACTTGGCATGGGCAGAACCAGACACCTATTGACAGGGGAAACTAGTCCATGCTAGACATGCACAAGATGCCACCTTCTCCTGTATTGAGCTCTAGTGCTAACAGGGCTTGGGAAAGCATCAACATCTTCAGCTATTCTGTCAACTTGTGCTACTGTCATGACCTAGAGGGTTACTAAGCCTGTGGGTGTATAAAGGTTGCTATATTGGGTTAGCAGGTTTCCGTAACACACAAGTACATAGAAGCTATATTTTCTACTTCCTTTATTACAAATTGCTACAGTTTATTAGTAAAGCAAATGTACTTATGATTAATAAAACTAATACATATCAAGTTACTCAAATTGCTGTCAGAAAAGCAAGTATATGTATATTTCCAAGTAGCAGCGAGTATGTATTTTACTACAAAATTACTACTAGTAAAGAAGCACATACATTTATGATCAATTACCTGTATGCATATATATATATACATAGTTTATTAAAAACAGTACCAGTACAGTGCTCACCAAACAGTTCCCAGGAATGGGGTCAAAATCAATGATGGACAGTCTCACTTGAAAGATGATCTGTTACACAGTCCAGAGTCAGCCAAGCATCCTTGGTAAAGGTCTAATATCTTGTCTAGGAGATCTCATAGAAAAGTTCATTCAGGGGGAGATCTTAGACACTTCATTTATGCAGAAAGCTAATAATTTTTATTTCAGAGACATAAGGGGGTGCAGGACACCTCAACCTGCAGTGGCAAATAGAGGATGTTTTTTAGTCTCAGACCAATTTTTACTTTTCCAGATTCCCTGATTTCTCAGAACAGCCAATGGCAGGTACTGATCTCTACTTTCTCAGGGTATTTTCCCCTCTCTTCCAGATTAAATATAATCTTTCCAGAAGATAAGTAGCTGTTACAATTTCAGTTTTGCAATTATCCATGGTATCTCAGGGTGTTTCCATTTTTTAGGTAGCCAGCTGCACTTGAAAGATGGCAGCTACACTTTTCAAGGATGTTTCTGGTTCATAGGCTGAGTTTCCAGGCTGGCAGGTGCTTTTTCAGTATTTCAGCAGACTCTTCTATGTGTTCAGTATTGTTCCCCTTATAACCAGATCACCTTTAAGGTGGCTCCCATCACCTGCCCCAGCAGAGAAAGGTGGAGCAACACCCCAGAGCCCTACCTATGCTAGCACTGCCATCAGCAAGAGCACTGGAGGAAAGGTGGGGGAAGGTGGTGCCCATAGCATAGAGAAGGGCATAGAATGAGACCCCGTCTACCACCCCAAGATACGTTCTGCGTTTGCCACAGGGATATACTTGGTTACCCAGCCAGAGGGGACACTACCTTGGAGACAAGGCAGCTGTGAATGAGGGTTGGTAAACCTATGTGAGAAGCCTGGCCTAGATCTTGGAATGTCACAGGCACAGCCTCTGACTTTAACTCCTCTTGAAAAAGTACTTCCAAATTCAACATAAAGAGGGATTATGCCATAACAAAGCCGATGCTTTTACACAACAAGCTGAAGAGTGTGATGTTATATTAAAACACAGGATGAAATAATGTCCCTAGACACAGCCAGCAGCTCAGCAGAGCTGGTTGAGTGCTGGGAGGAAAGAGAGCTAGGGAGCACAGATGGGCCTGGGAAATACCAAGCCTCCAAGCATCAAAACACAGTAAGCATGTAGCAAATACTCTAAACAGCACTGTCACCTTCATGTAAGCCACATCAAAAACTATGGGGAGTTACTTTACATGTTTTGTAATTTATGAGCACCTTAATAAAAACAAAAGAAAAATGAGCAGCACAAAATTAGATACACTTGGCTAGCTACATTTTAAACTCAGAACACTCTGTGGGAAGGAAAATATGCTCATCCTATTCTGCAAGAGAATTGTAGGCTCCTCATCTACTAGGGTATCTTTGCTTGCCTTCCTAGCTGCCACTGCAGCATTGTGATGTGCTAATTACCTTTAGCACAATCAGCCCTCAGCCAAAATTTCATTTCAACCAGTATGATAAACATGTACTTCAGAATTGAACAGGCAGCAAATGTACCCCAGTTCCATCTGGTCCTGACATAATACAGATATGATCACTGTTGCTAAAGACTGTAGGAGGTGATGGCTGCCTTGGCAGCCCAACCCCATGTGCTGTCCCTGAGTTGCAGTATGGCAGGAAATGAAGAGTGAGAAGTCTACAGTGATTTGGAGAAACCCTGTTGTCTAACAGATGTTGTCTTGTCACTGTCCACCATGACAGAGGCCAGCTGGGTATACCTCTGAGAGATGGAGATCCTGGTAGCTTGTCTGTTTTGAGGGAGGGGAGTTTCCTGGAGAAGGAATCTAACTGTAGAAAACCCATTAAGAGCAAATGTGGCTGCACATCCTAACCTCTGATGTCCTACCTTGGACACCCACAGGGCTTATTTCATGTCTCTGGTACCACAGGAGGACCCTTGCTCTGATAGCTCAGGTTATGTAGCCCAGGACCTGGCATACCTAACCCTGACTGGCCACAGATGCAGAAAACATTTTCTCTGAGGCTCAGTCTCAACAAAACATGGCTGAACTGTGGAAATGCATCAGAAGAGCTGCAGCAGCTGTAGCTGTGACTTATCTCAGGGAGAGATAGGGGTGAAGACAAGGGTTCGTCTGTGTGCTCTGAAGATCTCTGATTTAATCACACCTCTAAAGGTCTGGGAAGGGACTGGAGTGTGAATGCGGCTGCTGCTCCTTTAGGCAGCTGAGTGAAGAGTCCATGTTTCCCAAGGAGATAAGATAACTATAAGTTTCTACTGAAAATGATGGTGTCTAATGCCATATACTCCTAAACATCAGGAGTGCTACCAAGTATCAGTAGTCATTCATGCCAAAATATGAGATTTTTTTTTTTAAATATCAGTATCTCATCTGACCTCTTGCATTGCACAGAAGCTGGGACACTTCATTTTTTAGTGTTCATAGCATCAGAGCATCATGTCCCTTGAAGAGATGGAGGAGAGAGTTAGAGCATGCAGAAACACCTTGCAATGGCTAATGAAATAAAATATTTAGAATATAACAAAGGAACAAATTAAATACTGTGAATTACTCATGGACTAAAAGGGACTGATTATTCATCTGTAATAAAAATATATATCAGGACTAGTAATTTCTGGATGCGCAACCAAAGGATATAGCAGGTCCATCCCCTAGGCAGAACCACATACCTACATGTTACGTGTATGGGAAGAGGTAAGGTGCTTCACGGATGACAAAATTAGCATGATCTTGTTAATCTTCATTAGCATATTCAGGGATGCATTTTGTGGATAATGATGCAAAGGTCATTCACTGGACAGATGGCCCTTGAAACTTTACATGATGCACCAGAGCAGAGCTGTCCTGCCTTCATGAGACTCCCTCTTCCAGCTGCATCCTGTGCTAATCAGACCTCCTTATCAGCTCCAGACTCCACGTTATTCACCCCATGACTATGGTTTCATTACCTCTGAGTGTTTGATGCATTCCTCAGCCCAAAAGGTCTTTTCTCCCTCCCATCCCTCCTCTCTTTCTCAGGCTGTTTTTCTCAGTCCCTGTTCTTCTCAGGCTGTTTATCTCAGACCCTGTTTCAGGGAGTTACGAGTCAGCTGTCACAATGATTATTTGGCTGTTACTTGTTAATTAGCTACACAAACTGAATTAATGTTTTATAGTCAGTCAGCACTGCTGATTTGTAATAAAACTTCTGAGGACAACAGCCAACAATGTCCCTGAAATTATGCCAATGACTAGCTGTCAGCCAACTGTGCATCCCCAAATCACCCTGACAGCAGTTTTGCCATGCAGCCACCAGGGTCTAGGGTCTAAGATGATGATCACCACCAGTGATAGACATCTATGCTCAGAGAGCACCTCAATGCAAATATGTTTTCTTTATTGTGTTCTCCTTTCTTTAAAGCCGGTAGTATTACTCACACAAGCAAAGTTTCTCCAATAACACTATAAAGCTGCTGCTGGTCCAAAACACACTGGGATGATAAGTTCCCAGAGGATTGGGGGCTCAGAAAATTCAGCTCATCTGTGTAAAATAGCCCATTCCTACAGTAAAACAGACAGCCCCTACTAAAGCCTGAACAATGAATTAGGTGAAAAACTGACTGCTGTAATCCAGCACTATCAACCACCAGTTCAAGGCCAAACCTTGTATGTTATGATCTGAAAAGAGATATAGCAGGAAAACAGGATGAGCCATCACAGCAGCAGGCCCAGTAGGTAACTTTGAAAAGGTCTTCTAAATGGAGTGGAATCGCATTTTATATCAAGTCTCTTGATAATGTGTTGGAAAAATTGCTTTCCATTTAGAAATGAAAACAAGTCTTGTACCGATTTAACAATTTGCTGAAAGCACACACAGGGATCTATTTGTCTAATGTAGAGTATAAAAGAAACAAAGTAAGACATGCAACATAGCTCCAGTCATGCAGGTTAACACTCTTCATTGCCAGCACAAAATACCATCCAGTTGAGGTCAGGAAATCTAAGGGCCAGTGTTATGAGCCCCTGTGTGATTGGGATTTCCTAAGCTGTGGGACAGCTGGTGAGTCAGCAGTTCATTCTGTTACCTCAGTGTCTTTTGCTGTCAGGAGCTCACTATGTAAAAATAACTGCAAGATATTTTGTTCAAAATATTTAATTGATAAATATTCACAAACAGGAAATGCCATGTTCTTCCAGCTCTAGCTGTTCTGCAGCCAAATTAGAAAACCAGAAGCCGTACTAGTCCTAGGGATGTGAAACACAGCCCATGTTTGTACTCTGAAGCAAAACACAAAGCAGAGGTGACACTGCCAAGATAACGAACATACTGCCACTGCTCAATCCACGTCCACAGACCTGACACACAATCTATCTCCCCACATCTCCAACAATGTCCTTAGGCATGGAGAGGCATAGGCAGTCCTCAGACATCATGATCATCTGTGAGCTCCCAGTGGCTGAGAGCAGGACACTTAGGCTTTCACCAGTTCCAGTCATTCCCATCCATGGTACAGTTCTGCCTCTGAGGCAACAGCTGTGATCTAGAGGATTCAGAAAGGGCAATGTGGCTGCTGGTGACAGCATCAGCTGGTTCAGAACATACTTGATGTATTGCAGATCCCACTGCTAATGACCCCTCCTACTCAGAGCATCAGCAAGATTAAGGTTTCTACACCAATTCAATCCCAATGATGCACAGAGGAGAACATCATGAAGGATGTCCACAAAAGAGGCAAAGACCTAATACGAAAAGAGCCATCACAGCAAAGGTGTGATGCAAATGCTGCAAGAAGCAGCTCCCACGTACGCTTATACAATTTTATGCTAAGAGACATGACACACCATTGCTGGCAGTGAAAAAAGTTCCAGTGGGCAGAGGTGCCAGCTGCTAAAGCACTCAGTATTAAAGGACCAATATTTAAAAAGCCTGTCCAGAGCTGACACTTGAAACTGGAGCTAACCCAGAAGGCTGTTGCTTGGCATCACTCTGCCTTTGCAAGTCATTCAGAGCCCCAGCCAGAGCAGGTCTCTGTGCTTGCTTTGCCTGTGAACACACACAGTTCCACAGCCAGAACAAGCATTCGCACACAGCATGTGTGAACATCACACAGAAGGTGATAGACCAGAACCTATCAAAGTGCAGTCTGCCAGAGACTGCTTGGAGCAATACTGGATAGGAGCCATGCCACAGTAAGAAAACTTCTTCCTGATTTTTCTTAATCATATTCATACTGAAAAAGTAAACATTGGAGACACTTAATGTTAGGAAGGTTACTTTTGTGCCAGTGACAAATCTTTTTTTTTCTTTTTTTCTCAGTTAGTAGAAAATATTAATTCCCATTTCCTCCTTTTAATTGTGTCCGTGGCTGATAGTTCAGTGCATAGGCTACTCTTAACATAGAAGATTAGGCTACACTGAAGAGGAAACTCAAAAATAACTGGTTGAGATGTGTATCTGTTTCACTTAGCAGAAGGTGGGATGCTGCTCAAGACTTCAGTGACTTGGGAAATTAATTGAACATGGTCTTGTAAAAAAAAAAAAAAATTAAATTCTACCAAATAGATCCCTCTTGAGCGTGCAGAGTTAGGTTTCTTGGCTTTATTCCCCTCAAAGCTGAACTAGCTAACGTAGTGTAAGGAAAAAAAGAATACTGCTCCAGAGAGTGTTAAGTGATGTCTATCTGGATGGGCCAGCTTTGCCAGGGAAATGGGATGTACATGTTGGTAACAAGCAACTGACCTTACTTTTTAAATTTAGGTTAACAGACAAGGAAATAGAACTTCCTGCATGTCCTCTATGAAGACAGACACCTGCCATTCACAATCTGAAGGTGGCGTTTCAGCAGCAATGGGTTGCCTGTAAAGGTAAGAGTAGTGCATGGGGGTGTGTGCCTCAGGGCTTGGTGCCACACACGTGTGGCTGTGGAGGTGATACTTGGCAAACACGGATGCTATTCTCCCCGACCCCTGCAATTATACTGTAAAAACACCTGGTCATTTTTTTAAATCACTGTTGGTTTGGACCATATCTGAAGTGGTGTCTAGAGCTGAAAAGCTTTTAATTTCATTACTGGTTGTCAGTTAATTTCTCAGTTGTAATGCTTTAACAGAAGAAGGATAATGCTCATCATCAGCGAAATGATGAGTATTCCATTTACCACAAGTAAAAAAAGACTTAATTTGAGCATTCTGTCCTTGAAGATGAAAAGGCTAACAAGTTTCTTCCTTTCCAATTGTGTTAAATGTGTAATTCCATCAATCTGATCTGGGAGGCCTGTCTAGATCTTGTCATGTCTTTGCACTCTGGAAGAGGCTTTGTATATCTTATACCCTATAGGAATTAGGTGAAGGATTTGACAATTGCACTGATAAGATACTCGGGATGTCTTAGTATTTAGCTTCAAAGGGATTTTAAGACATCAGTTGACTGTAAATTATTGTGTGTAAATCCAGCCAACTTCTTATAACCAGCAGTGTCGGAAAGCGGAGAGAATTCCCAAGCTGATGGTGGATGTGCAGGTCAGTGGGTGATGCTCTCGGGGGTTTCTGAGGCTCTTCCCCAGCGCAGTACCATGAACACAGGTTCCTTGAGTGTGTGAATGGATACTGAACACTTTGTTCAGCAGAGTGGAACTTAGGGTGCAAACTAAAGAACGATTTTGATCTGACAGTGGAAGTTAAATGGCATTAAGTCAATGGATTAATTTTAGAATACTCTGATGTTTTAAAATCCTTGGTGGGGGATGGCAATATCCAGAACGCACACTAGAAAAGAACAGATGAACACTGCAAGCTCATTACATTGAAAACATCTTTAAGTCTTGTTTCTTGGGTGTGGGTTTTTAAGGATGCATGGGGAAACTGGAAGTTACAATGAGATTCCCTGTTTCTGTATATAGCAGAAAAATGTTTTTTCCTTCCAAAATTGGTAAAGTTGGTGTTAATTTTATTGCTGTAGTAGAAATTGCCAAGTGTAAGGGGATGAAGTTCACCTTAGTAACATGGAAGAAAGCTTACTATAATCCTTTTCATAATAGAGTCATTCCCATGGGTGAAAAAGCAAGCAGTAGGCAAGTTCTGTGGTAAAACATGAAATAATTATTGCAGCAATTAGAAATGCTGGAGACAATAAGTGTAATATGTCTGTGTGGTAACTTACAATTGCTTCAAGAGTTGCTGTATCAATGCGTCTGTATTTTGGTGCTAGCTTAGCCATTATGGTGTCTTAATGTAGGTAAAATTAACTGTATGTGAAAGCATGGAACTCTGATGAATTAGCTGTGCATGTGTAAATAGCTTTGTTCTGAAACAACTTCGTTCTGAATAGCACCTTTTAGCTTGAAATCCTGGCTTTCAGCAGGTGCCGCCAGTGCCTGGTAAGTGCCCCAGAGGTGTGCAAGTGGAGCAGCCTGCCCTAAAGCAGCTGGGCCATGGTGCTCACAGGGCCTGAGCTAACTGAGTAGAAGATACACATGATCTGCTGGCCCCCTGCAAGTGCTGTGGTGCGAGGGGAAGGAAAAGAAGGGAAAAGGTGCTGAGCAAGTGTGGCAGAGGCAGGAGCTGACCGGGGGAGCAGCTCACCAGCCTCCTGCCTCTGAGGGGAAACTCAGTGAGTGTAATTGAGTGAGCTTAGCTCAGCAGCTGAGCACAAACTTTTCCCTAATTGCACTGCTGTATTGTGTGAGAATTGCTGCATCTTCCCCTTTCCTGACTCAGTTGATAAGTGATTTTTCTAAAACGGTTTACTTGCCTGGCTCTTTTGGGTGACAGCAGCAACACTGAAAATTCTGTAATGCCAGATAAGCCTGCCTGTCTTTAAAGTCAGAGTAGGAGAAGGTGACCTACAG